CCACCCCCCGGCGTCGCCCCCCGGCAGCGACTCCACTCGACTCGTGTCGCCTTCTTTCCTCACTCCCAAATTGTCACTTGACCTTTGTGAACTTTTTGAGGTTGTTTTCTAGTCCTACTGGTTTTACCTTTTGGCTCTTGCTGAGAATGACTGAGTCTTACTTGGGGGGAGAAAACAAAAAAAAAAGGCCTGTTTGCGAGCCTTTTTTGTTTTGTTTTGTTTTTTTTTAAATCCAGTCGGTTTCCTAGTCTACTTTCGGGACCGGTGTGCTTCATGTCGATTCCCAATGTTGACCGGTCTACTTTTTGTATGGAGGTGGTTGCCGGTGCATTTCGAATGTTCAGCGGCGCAGTGCGATGTCACGTGACGGGCTTTTGTGTTCCAAACGGGTTTGGCGGCTACCTCGCCCTGACGCTCCCGCGTACACGCGCGCCTGGTTTCAGGGCGTGGGCCCGTTCTCCAGCCCCCTCGTCCCATTCAGCTGGTCAGGCCGCGTCTTCGACTTTGTTCCGCCACACAAACGCCTCGGGCAAAGAACTTGTCGTGGGACGACGCGCGTTGATGCATGTACTGCGTCGGCCTCATTCACCGAGGTCGACAAAAGCTCCCCGGAATTGCGGGAATGTCGCCGCTTGAAGAAAAGAGTCCGTGCCGCACGTCGGCGTCCAAACCCGGAAGCCGTCAAGAGCCGCTAGAGGCCAAAGTCGTCATTTGTCTTGGACGGCGCTCGAACGTGATTGACCCGCGTCGTATGACGCCGCTCTCTCGGGTGACGTCATTGTTGGTCAGCGAGCGAGCGAGCGGTCGGTCTCCGCGGAAACGATGAGCGGATGAATATGCGAGGGGCCCGCGCCGTCAAAGGGTCGCCGGGGGTCCGGCGGCCCGTCCGCTGCCACTTTTCCGTCGCTCTCCGTCGTTTTGTTTGTCATTGGAGCGGCAAGCCCAGTGGAGAGGACTCGATTTGATGGATGTGCTTGCGTGCAGCTGAGCGGCTGCATCATCCTGGGCGTGTCCATCTACCTGAAAGTCAACAAGGACGGCAACAGCGTAAGAAAAGCGGCTCACCGCATCCCTCGGCCCGCCTTTCCACTTGGGCCCCGAGAGTTGACCGTTGTTTTCCGTTCGGGCCGCAGATCACCAGCCAGTCCCTGCCGGGCATCGACCTCCTCATCGCCGTGGGTGTCATCGTCATGCTCTTGGGGTTCCTCGGATGCTGCGGCGCCATCAAGGAGAACCGATGCATGCTCATCCTGGTGGGGAGCCCGCACGCCGACACGCCACCGGGAAAAAAAAAAAAAAAGCATCGTGTACACACCCGCATACGCAGGTTTTGCCACCTTGACGATATTAGCGTCATGTTCCCATCGCACAGTTCTTCGCCAGCCTGCTCCTGGTCTTCATCCTCCTGCTGGCTGCAGGAATTGTGGGCGCCGTAGCAGAGAATAAGGTACGGCGGCCCGTTGAGTCTTTGTGTGGCGTCAGCGCAGCGAGAGAAGGCGACGGAGTGGTTTTTGTTTGTTTGTGTGCGCGCGCGTGTAGGTGAAGGACTGGGTGAAGGAGCGCCTGCAGAAGTTCATGCCGCTCTCCGGTCATCCCGAGATCAGAGAGGACCTCGAAAAACTCCAGAAGGAGGTGAGGTCCCGCTTCCTCGTCCGCGCGGCTCACCTCCACGCGTAGCCACGTGCTAACCCTTCCGTCGGCCGGCGAGCAGCTCGGGTGCTGCGGCCTGGTGAACGGGGCGTCCGACTGGGACGTCATCCCGGACTCGTGCCGATGCGCCGCCTCCGACCCGCAATGCGGCCCCGACAAAGTCTACGCCACGGTAAGCGCACGCCACGCGGGGGTGGGCTTGCTTCAGAGGGCCGCCGTTTCCCCCGCGGACTTTGCCACTGTGTCTTAGTGTGCATGTGACGGCGGGTGTGGGCGTGGGGAATTTGGGTTTTAGTGCCGGCGTAATTCAACATCGTTTCCTTTTCGGGTTTTGTTTGTAACCTATGTGTGTGTGTGTGTGTGGGTTTTTTTTTTCCTCAGGCTCAAAGCATGCTCCCATTTAAGGAGGGAGAATGGTTGGAGCCTGTCGGGTTTTTTTTTTCCCTCTCCCTCCCTCTCTTCCCGGTTGTTTTTCTTTCCCGCGTCAACTCTGGGAGCACTGAACGGGGAGCCGCCAGGCTTCCCGCTCCGTCTCCCTCTGCCGGTCATCGTCGTGTTGACTTTTCCCGCCGTCCGATTCCTCGGCCACCAAATGCGATTGTGAGATATGTGTGATCCCGAAGGCTAAAAGTGCGTGACCGCCGCGTGTTCCCTCGCAGCCGTGCTCCACTCGGATCGTCCACCTGTTGGAGAAAAACATGGAAGTGGTCATCGGCATCGCCTTCGCCATCGCCGTACTGCTGGTCAGAACGCAGGCACCCGGCACGCAAAAATCACATTTCCCCACCGCGGGGCCAAAGCCGGCGTCTCTTCGTCGAGACACCCGGCCAACGTGACGCCCGACGCAAGAGTTTTGTGTGTCCGCAGATCGCCGGCATGGTCTTCTCGATGATCCTGTACTGTCAGATCACCAAGCGAGACGGCGCCACCACCGCCTGAACTCCGAAACGACATCAACCGACGTCCCAGCGCACTTTTATACCGAAGGGACTCTTTGGGCCGACCGCACGTCGTCGAAGATGATTTTTTTTTTTTTACCGAGCAGCACCGCTCATGACAAAATTGACGTCCAAATCTCATTGGAAGAATGGAAAGCTTTTTTTTTTTTCCCCTCCCCTCTTCCGAACCACCGTTGCTGTGTACTTATTTTTATTCCAGAATATAACACGAATCCCAATTGTGATCATCTGCTTTCTTCAACCATTCGACTGCTTTCGCAGTGTTTGATTTGAGCGCTTGAGTCGTTTGTGCGGGTCGCTGCCGGTTCCACACACGCGGGTTGTATTTTCCGCGTCGACCGTCTGATTCGGCTCCGGCGCACCCCAAATCCAGCCAATAAGAGTCTTCCTGACCTCTTGCCGTAAGACAAGTGCAAACCTCGCCTGGGGTGATGTCACTCAGACGCCGGAGCGCCGTCGCCTCCTGGAGCCCGAGTTGATTTCCCCCGGCAGGATTCGAAGGACCTCCGGCAGAGCTCCGAGACTTTGCAGGATGACCGGCAACCGCCCCGGTCCGAGCGCCGCTCTACCGTTGGGAGTCGAGCGACGGCGGGGCGGGAGTCGAGCGACGATGGCACGTGTCGGGCAAAGGACGGCCGCATCCCAGCTGCGGGAGTCTTGTCGTCCCTTATCGCCAGATGCCGACCTCGGCTTTGCGATGGCAGATTGACTTCTTCCTCTCGTCGTTGACGACAACTCCCCCCTCTGGTGTTCCCTGTTTCCTGCGTACTTTCACACTGACTCAGTCTCTCCGCACAAAATGTTTCCACCGGCTCTTTCTTGCCCGAGCGTAAGGCGAGCCCCTCGCGGTTCGATGAAATGGTCTCGATCTGCGATGAAGCGCTCCATCCATCGTCCCAAAGGCTTGGATGTCCACATGATCCCTGCCGGCGGGCACACGGGGTGCAGCCACCTTTTGTCTGTTTGAGGCGTTCTCTTCGTTGGCAAAAGTACAAGATGGACACACGCATGCTCTGAGGGTTGGGGGGTGGGGGGGGGGGTCGTCATAGATGGAGATCAACTCGAACTTGGCGAGTGAAATTCCATCCAAAAGACACATTGCAACTTTGGCCACTCAACTTGTCTTCTTTGTCTTTGTCTCTGATCTCAAATGACACCTAAGAATGTTTTCCGCCCCAAATCATGGCAAATTGTGTCCGTGTGTGTGTGTGGTTGTTTTTTGTTTTTTTCAGTGTGGCGAGGGGGAAGGTCTGTGGGCGTTGTCTCCCCACAGCGGCGCGGACGCAACTTTTGGCATCCTGGCAAGCTGCAGCTCGTCAAAGCAGCGCGCTCGCACGCACACTCGCAAGCTCCGACTGCCGCGTCAAGATGGGGAAAATTAACGGCTGCCTCAAATGTCTTTTTGTCTTCTTCAACGTCGTCTTCGCCGTAAGTACGCGACCGCTCTCCCTGGTCACGTTCCGATCCGCGGCTCCCGCCGCCTCCGTCAAATGATGGAGACGTGCGGGACTCGACGCCACATGAGCAACACTTGCTTCTCGAGCAATCTTCCATCGATCTCGACATGTAGAAGATCATGTCATGCTTTTTAAAAACTATCATTTTAGTTTTTCATTCCAACATGCGTCATGATTGCACATGCTCGGAAAAAATCAACACGGTTTGGAAAGGAAGAATGGCCAGATCGGTTTTGAACAAGTTCATCTTTGTCTTGATTTCACCGACGGGAAATTTCTGTCATGTCGTTGACGTCGGAATATGCCCTTTTTTTTTCTTTTTCTTTTGTTTTGGGGAGTAGGGGAAAATCGAGGTCATGCCATTTGTCTTTGGAAATGTTTTTATTTCAGTTGGAGGTGGGCCATTTGAAAACGCGTCTTGAGGCAACAACGCAACCGCTTTGTGGAAGAACATTGTTAGAAAAAGGGGCCGGGGAGGGGGGGGGGGGAGATTTTCCACTAGAACGTCTCCGATTGCATAACAACCGCGGCAACCGTCGAGATCTCCAAGCAGAGCTCATTTCCGCTCCGAGAAAAGCCAAAAGGTGCGCAGTTGAGCAAAAGTCGTCGGCCTACGCCCCCCCCCCGCCTCTTCCTCTCCCGCCTTCTTTTTTTTTCCCGCCTCTCCCCCGATAGCTCGCACACATTGTCTGTTTCCAGCGGCAACACATCCGCTTTCATTTGTTGTTGACTGGCGGGACGGACCCGTTTTCGGACCTTGGATGGAGCACGACGGCGCAAGGTCGCATTTCAGGATCTCTGTTATCTTGTGCTACGTTCAACCACATTTTGTTGCACTCGCACACTTTTTCCATGACTGGTCGGTGACTTTGCACGCCCTCGTCTCGCGCAACCACGTTATGCCAAATCAAGTGAGCGCTGCGCGCGCGCGCGTGTGTGTCTGTGTGTGTGTGTGTATATAGATCATCGGATGTCTGCTGATCTTTGGGGCGGTGAAGGCCAGCGTCTACAGCGCACAGGTAAATGAGAAAAAACTCTGCGGCGCAAAGAGAGAAGCGTGGGCACACGTGTTGACAATTTCCTTCACTTGAGCGGCGCCAATTCAGGGCTGCGCGTCGGCGCGGTTTCCCTCGCACTTTTACGAGCGCCGCTGCGCAGCCCGGATGAGCCGCGGGAGCGAGCCCAATTTGGGGCAGAGGGGAAAGGTGTCCGATTTCCTGGAATGCTCGTGAAAGCCGTGTCGGGAAGCGGCGTCATTGAGAAGAAAAACAACTGAAAAAAAAAATCCCAGTTTGTGCTACTCCTCTGCCAACGTCAAACTAGTCGCGCGCGCGCGCCTGCGCGTGCGGTTTGTGCTACTCCTCTGCCAACGTCAAACTAGTCGCGCGCGCGCCTGCGCGTGCGTCGGTGGGTTGAATTTCATCAACTTCTCACCCCACCGCCCCTCCGTGACGTGATCCGCCAGAGTGGATTCATTCCAAGTGAAATCACAGTCAGATGGCAGCAAAGTCAACAAGTTGCTTGAGGTTGAAGCTTTCTTTTCTTTCCAGAACAAAAGCCGATGACGTCGCTGACGGCTTTGGCTGTCACTTCTGCCTTCGTCCGAGTTGTCGCTGCTTCCTTGTGGCGTGTCTCGAGAACAGCTCAAGTGACAGCCAAAGCTGTCAGCTATAGGTAAGGTTTTCTCTCACCCCCCCCCCTTCCCAAAAAGACCATTGTCTGGGGGAAAAAAAAAAAGAAACCTTCAACCTCATCTAACCAGTAAATAGACAAGATGAACGTCATAGCACTGTCAACAACTTGCAGTGGGAGGGAAAAAGCTGATGAGCGTGACAAGGAGGCGGACGCTCTGGAAAACTTCACGATCCTCCTGAAGGGCACCCCCCCCCCAAAAAAAAAAAAAAACTGCAATGGGTGAATTTGGACTTAATGAAAAAAATGTGTGTGTGTGTGTGTGTGTGTGTGTGTGTGTGTGTGTGTGTGTGTGTGTGTGTGCGAGATGCAGCTGTCGGCAGTAGGTGCGCCGGGCCTGGGCTGGGTGTGGGTGTTTGCCATCGGCGTCCTGGGCATTTCCTGCTTGGGAATCTACGCCGGAATATCGGAGAAGGAGCTCGCCCTCAAGATCGTATGTGGCCGACACGCCCGCCGGCGCCCGCGCCCGCCCCCTTGACGTGTGGCCGTTGCCTTCTGTTGTCAGTTTGCCGGCTTCATGGCGGTGGGGATGATCATCATGCTCATCTTCGGCATCGTGGTGGTCGTCATGAGGAACAAGGTTAGCTTCTCGACGCGAGCTTCGCGTGGCCGCGATCGCCCGCCGACCGCGCGGCTCACTTCAAATCTTGACGAAAGAGATGTCCGCAACGCATCGACGTGAATTGACGCCACTTCCCGCGGCGAATCCTCGGGGCGCTTTGGCAGCACCCGTCGCATTGTCCAGGAAGTGACCTCGGTGCAAATGTCGTTGCGGGCGAAGGTGCGCCAGAGCTTCCGCAGCACGTCGGCAGACATGGCCAAGCCCTTCATGGCGGAGGAAGGATTTCGCATGGTGCTTCAGCAGCTGCAGGAGAGCGTGAGACCGCAACGCGCACGCGCACCCGCCGACAGAATCCGCATGGCGCTTTGGGAAGGTGACTCGGCGTGTGACGTTTGCCTCCGTTTCCATTTGTGCGCGCAACGTAGGGTCATTGCTGCGGCTTGGTGAGCGCCAGCGACTGGGGCGACGACATTCCCGCCACGTGCGAGTGCCGACCCGGACTGGACGGCTACGGAGGTTACGGGACCTTCGGACATTCCGGATGCAAAGCCAGGCCTCAGGTAGGCGCCGCGCGCCCGCCGCCTTTTAGCACTTCCCCCGCTCCGGCGCGTCATTGAGCCGCTGCGTTTCCTCCGCAGGGAACCACCGGCCCTGAGCAGATCTACCAGCAAGTAAGAACGCGCGCCTGCGCACACGCACGCACGCGTACACAGACACCAAATTGGGCAGACGCCGAGACCCTTCCCGCCATGCCCCGACAAAGTCTCGAGGCCGTTTTGCTTTGAAGCGAATTCCCTCAGGAGTCGCAAAGTTAGAAAACGCAGCGGGTGGAGCACCCGAGACCAAAGTGGGCGGGCGTGTCCGTGATCGCAGAACGCGGGGGAGAGTTACAAGGAGCGATGGCCGAAAAGCAATAGCGAGGCAGCCGTGTCGGCTCAAATGGGGACAATTCACCCGCTTGGAATTTCCAGAGAAAACTTTTTTTTTTTGTGTGTCCTTCGATGATGTCCACCCAATTTTGTGTCCATTAGCAAAACGGGCGTCAGGGGCTAATTTCTTCTCTTCTCTACTTTCTAAGGGCGCGACAGAGTTCGAAATGTTTGCTTCAAAACAAAATGGCTGGCTTCCTGTTCAATTTCAGGCATAGGTCCTTTTTGTGCGTCCTGTCACAAGAGAGAATTTTCGTTTTTTTGAATTTTCCGCAGGATGCTACCAAGTGAGTTTTGAGTTGGAGACACGCCAACATTCTCTCCAGGATACGTACACTTGCAAGAATTTGTGACTTTTTCAGTATGTTGAGACTCCCAACAAGGAAAATGATTTATGGTACGGATAACAGTAAACACAGCCATTCCAATCAGGCCAAATCTAGATAAATACCTGGCTAGCTCGCTAGCTGTAAAAAAAAAAAAAAAAAAAATCAAGCCAGTTGCACCCGCGGACACCAATTCCAGGGGATGCGCGTGTCATGTTGGGGAATATCAAAACAGACGGCTGGCCCACCGCAGACGTGAAGTCGGCCGTTTGGGTTTCCGTCGGCCGTTTTGGCAAAACTCCCTCCAATCGAGCCGCCGTTTGCAAAACGCTCGACGCCGGCGAGCCACTTGGCGACTGACTAACCGCCGGTCTTCCTGACAGTCTTGCGGCGAGTTGATCATCACCTACGCCGACTACTTCTTCAACATCGCCATCGGCTTCCTGTTCGGCTTCGCCATCACGGCGGTGAGTCAGGTCATGAGTGCGCTTGCGCCCGGCGAGATGACTTTCTAACCGCTGTGGCGCGTCTGTGTGTGCGCGCATGGCGTTTAGCTCCTGGGCCTGCTGGTGGCCCTCCTGATGATCCACCAGGTCAGACGCCACGACCAGGCCGGCGCCTCGTCCGTGGCCATGAAGAGTTACTGACGCGGGAACATCAGCAGTTTGTCCCCCCCCGAGCTCTTGGTGCTCAAAACCTTCGCAAAGCTTTTCAGTCTCCTGCACTATAACGACGAGACGTTTACAGTCCGCTTCCGCTGCACCTTTTTTATACCTTTGCTAAAGATACTGTACACGTACAAAGGAGATATCGACTGTTTTTTAATCACATTTTTGTAAACGAGAAATGCTCCATTTTTTTAGTCTGTGATTGCTGATCAGCAACATTAAATTGTCGTTTTTGGTTACGATCCCAAAGTGTCCTGGTTACGATATTCAAGCCGGAACACCATCGAGGGCGGTCAAGCCTCGGAAGCGTATTCGTTGGGACTTTTACCTTCCCAGAGTGGACGCTGAAAGCATCTCGCTTCCTTAACTTTTACTGTCATAACTTTTGACGTCACATCGGGGAGGACACGTCACTTCCTGTTTCCTCACCCAAAGCTGTCGGGGAACGAACGCGAGTCGTCTCTCCGGGCGCAATGACGTCGCCGATTGTCGCCGCATTTACCCAAGTGCTGCTATTGTTCATTTCAGCTCGAGTTCACAGTCTCTTTTCGGAGTAAAAACCGACTTGGACATCCAAAGACCAAGACGATGATTAGGAGGTGAAAAAAGGAACAAGGTGGAGTGTGTGTGTGTGTGTGTGTGTGTGTCCACGCGCCCGGGGGTGTGTTTAATGAGGCCTGACACGGTTGGATCCTTATACAGGCCACACACTCACACAGACACGCACGAAGAAGGCAAGGTTGTTGACCTGAAACGGGGGCTCTCAATCAAATGGCTTGTGGACCGCCAACGTTGAAAGGTTCTCCACCTGAAGTGAGGCGGCAACACGCCCTCACAAACACGCTGATGGAGACGAACGGCTGCGCGGCTCACACGCGTCCACGTGCAGGTCGTGACGTCAGCCTCATTGGCGTACTTGCGGCTGATGTGGTGGGCGCGCATCCGCCGGTGCGTGAAGCGAACGCCGAAAGCGCCGATTGCTCAGGAGCGGCGGGTGGGGGTCCGCTTCTCTTTTTTTTTTTTTTTTTTTTTTTCTTTTTTTGGACGTTGCTCACCTCTCAGGGATGGCGCTACAGCCCCATCGCAAATCTGTGTGCCCTCGGTTTAGCCCCCTCCGGCATTGCAGTTGATATTTCAAGGCTGAAGCCTCCCGCCGGTTGCCATAGTAACGGCAGCAGGTACCCCCCCCCTCCCCTACCTCACAACGAGCCATGTGTGTGTGGCTCCGAGGGACAACCGCCAAGCGGCTCCCGATGCATCGCCACTCCCGCGGGGGGCCATCGAGTCGGTGGCGCAGGCCGAGTTGCGGAGCGAGAGAGGTTCGCCGAGGCCCCGGCTCGGGCCGGGACGGGCCGGGCCGCCCTCTTCACGCTCCCTTTCTTCTCCGCCACGCGGATTGGATTTCAGGTGCGTCGGTCGCCGCCCCTCTCGCCGGCACGCTGTGACCGGACAGCAGGTGGGCCCGGGGTCCCGCGAGTGACGAGACACCTCCGAGGTGCTCTTTGCAGCCGCTGCGTCGCCTCCAAGACGTCAAAGCGATGAGTCCGGACACGTGACTCGAACCGGGCTGAAAGTGGCAGAGCAGGCGGTCTCCGCGCGCACGCGCCGCGCGATGCCCAGACTCCTCCCCCTCCCCTTCCTCCTCCTCCTCTTCATCACCTTCATCCTCCCGCACGAGGATGTGAGCGCGGCGGCAGCGGAGGCGCGGCGGACTGACAACTTGACGACCAAAGGCTTCGGTTGCCTCGGACGGTTCCGGACGCCTCGCCGCGCCGCTCCGCTCACGGTGCACGCCGCACGCGCGGGATGGTTCGACGTCGTGCGGCGTGGACACGAAGCTGCCGTTCGCCTCGGCGGAGCAGCAGGACCTTCCCGGCCGCCGCCGTGCTCGGCGTGCGACGTGGCTTCCGGGTGAGTGGGCTTCCTGCGTGACACGTTCCCACGCGGGCTCCACTCTTTTTGAACCCGCCGAGAACCGGAACGGGAGGAAGGAAGGAAGCGATTTGTGGGCAAAAACAAGCCGCAGCCCGTCAGCGTGTTCCTGCCGACTCAGCCAAATCCGCGACTGGACGGAAGCGATCAGGCGAGCGGCTCGCGATCACCAATTAGCGGAGCACGGATGCCGGTGAAGCGCCCCCCACCCCCACCCCACAACAAACGGTCTTTATTTGGGCAATGCTGTGTCAACTAACATTCTGCTCTGAGCAAGTTTACTCATTGCGTGGTTAACGGTCGGGCTGTCACGCCACAAGGTTCTTTTCCAAGACTCGTTCGTTCCCTTTTGACATTTGGAGACTTGCTCACTTTGTATTGGGAGCTTCTCTTGCTCTTGCTGCGCTTTTTCCTGGTTTGAGGAGGCCTCCTCCCGCCATTGGCTCCGGTGCGTCCCACCTCAGCCAATCACAGCAACGGGGCCGGTCGAAGTCGGGCGCATGGGCCTGCGTGACCTGACGTCGGGCGTCACGCGCAACGGGCGCCGGATGTCCGAGCAGTGGGCGGCGCCTTGTCCATCGTCACGCTCATCGCCGTCACCGCCGTGGCCGTGGCGCTGGGCGTTCGCTTCGAGGAGTGCGGGGGAGCCGAGGAGGAGGACGAGGAGGCGGCGTCGCCCAAGCACCGCGGCGCCGACGGCGGCCGGGGGGAACGCGTGGCGCCGACGGAGGAGGAGGCGGCCCAGCCGTGGACGAAGAGCCGGCTGCCGGCCTCCGTGCGGCCGCGCCACTACGACCTCCACCTGGCCGTCCACATGGACAACTTCACCTTCTCGGGTGACGTCAGCATCGACATCGAGTGCGTCAACGCCACCAGGTTGATTCTGCTACACGCCGACAGACTTGAGGTACGCGCCCCGCCCACTCCGCACCATGCATGCTTGACGCCCGACCGACTCGGCTCCATGTTGGACGCCTGACTGAAGTTGCCAACCTCGCCCGCTTTTAATTGGCGCCACGTGAAAACCGGACCCTTTTGATGAGCCGCTTGACACCCCCGTTGACTTCACCTTGTATTTGGTGGCGGCGCCACGCCCTGCTGGATGCGCTTGATCGACTTCACTATCTGCACTGGTACATCGCCCTGCACGTCTGACAAACACACCCTACTTGGGGGTGGGGGGGGGGCATTTAATAGCAGAGCAGCCGAGTTTCACGACACTTTGATGAGTCACACGCACACGGTCAGTGACATGGTTTCCTGTTTGGTGACACGGTTGGCTCTTGAGGGGCAGCGGTCTGTCAGGACAGCCCTGCCCCCTTCCTCCATTGTGCAGTCTGACAACAGCGCGCGCGTGCGTGCGCTTTGCCGCGAGTGAAGTTTATTTTGGTCATTTGCTCATTGCGGCTTATTACGCGTCTATTCGGGTTCATTAGGTTGACGTTGAGGTTGTTTTGTGAGGTTAGCCTCGCCTCCGGCGCCGGAGCGCCGCTGAGCTTCTCGCAAAGAGGCGCCCGGTCGACAAAGACGCGCGGGCTCGCGGAAGGGGCCGGTCTTGGGAACGGGGTTCCCGTCGCAAATGAAGCTGGAGCCGAGTCGTTTTGCTCGCAGGTGTCGAGCGCGTCGGTGACGGCCAACAGGCCGGGGGGAGGCGCCGTCCGCGTCCACCGCCGCTTCCTCTTCCCGGCCACTCAGATGCTGGTGTTGGTGCTGCATCGAGAGCTGAAGGCTTCCAGGACGTACCGCCTCAACCTCACCTTCGACGCCGCCATCGAGGACGAGCTGCTCGGATTCTTCAGGAGCTCCTACACCCTGCGCGGCGAAAGGCGGTACTCGCTCCCTTCACTTTCTTCCGCATCTGGCCGCGTCGAAAATAAGAGCCCGACGATGCCGATTTCTCGGCTGATGTCGTGCAGCCTCGTGACACGATCGTCCCATCGACAAACGTGGAAATCGGCTGACAATCGTCAATCCAAACGTGACTCGCGAGTTCATCCCGCGGGTGATTTGGCCAACCGTCCCGCCTCCGAGGGACGACTTATCGAATAGTCCTGCCCCAAAAACGCGACTCCGCAAATACCAACGAAACCGTGCGCCTCATCCGAAAATGCCGTTCAAAAAAAGGGATCGATCAACGATCGTCAGATTGTGCCAACTCAAACCGAATAGCTCTGTGACTCTTTTTGGGTTGTGTTTTTTTTTTGGGGGGGGGGGGGGGTCCAGCTACCTGGCGGTGACGCAGTTCAGCCCGACGCACGCCCGCAAAGCCTTCCCGTGCTTCGACGAGCCGGCGTTCAAGGCCAGCTTCTCGCTCAGCCTGCGGCACCACGCTCAGTACACGTCGCTGGCCAACATGCCGGCGCTGGAGGACGACGGCGGCGGCGGCGAGGACGACGGCTGGACGACGCGCCGCTTCGCCCGCACGCCGCGCATGTCCACGTACTACCTGGCCTGGGCCGTCTGCAACTTCACATCCAGAGAGACGCGCGCCGACGGCGGAGTGGCGGTAAGCGGCGCCGCCCGTCCTCATCGGGGAGGGCGGCCCACCGTCTCCATCGTTGTCACCGGATGAGAAAAAGGCCGCCGCGCGTCTCGCCGCGCGGCGTTTTGTCGCATCGCGAAGACGTCCGCGTGCCGCGGTCTCGGAGGTGCCGTTCGCCGCTTGCCTCGGACTCTCGGGGGAGATGATGTCATGAAATTCCTCCTCCAGGAAGCGGACACGGGTCACTTCCTGCCAATCCCGCGCGCAGCTGCTCCGCGTTAGCGCACGCCACGCGGCGCCAGCTGCGGCCCGTGGGCGTTTGCGTCGCTTTTTTTCTTCTTTTTCCGCCCGCACGAGCGCGCTGATGTCGGACGACGGCAAGGACAAAGCCCGGCGCCACCGGTGCCGCCTCCACGGGCGTAATGACACATCATCCGTCTTGACTGACGCGCGTGCGCGCGCGCTCAAGGACACGCGCGCTCCCAGTGGAGCCGCCGAAAAAAAAAATGTCGCACATCAGACTTGCGCTTTCTCATCCTTGGTGGAGGTCAGCCTGTTGGCACGAGTCAAACAAACGCTCGTCCGTCATTGGACCTGCGAGCCGGTCAGCGCGGGAAGCGTCGTCAGCGCCGGCATTCGACTCCCGCTAACGTTCTGATTCGTAGCTTGAGGCGGCGGGACGTGCGCGCGGCAGCGGCAGCTTTTTCTTCTGCACCGCCTGCGAGCTGTGTAGCATGCGAAGGAACGATGTGGATGCAAGTGATTTGGGATTCGGCGGCCTCCTTTGTCCTGCCGTGTCTCTCTCACACACTACACGTGTCACATTGCGTGTGTGTGTGTGTGTGTGTGGCCGCATGATGGCAAGATCAGGCCCAAGCCATGCGAGCGGCTCTCACCAGGCCCCGGAGAGCACGTCGCATTTGTCGCGCGCACGTCGTGGCACGCGAGTCGTTTGTGTGTGAGAAAAAGCTTTTTCCAAAAAGTTGAAACAAGACAGTCGCGAAGTCGTCGGGGTGCGTGTGATTCGTCTCCCCCTCGGTCTGCTCGCGAGCACGACAAAGACATATTCTTCCGCCCCCTCCCGTTTCGCAGCGCGACGGTTGCCTCGACCGGACGGCGCGAGAGTGAGCGGCCTCGGCCTCGGCTCAGTCGCGACGGCCGAGCTCTGCCCCGTCGGTTGCTTGCTTGTTGTCTTGCGTGTGTGTGTGTGTTTTTTTTCACGGCCTGGTTTCCCGCTCTTCCTCAGATCCGTTTGTTCGCCCGGCCGGACGCCATCGCCAGCGGCGCCGGCGACTACGCGCTTCACATCGCCGGGCGCCTCCTGGCCTTCTACCAGGACTTCTTCAAAGTGCCGTACTCGCTGCCCAAGCTCGGTAAGCTCACGGCCGGCGTCCTTTCTGTCCCCCTTTGTCCCACGTCTCTCGGAAAGATCGCCAGTTGCGTTGGTGTTGAGAACGGCGGCGCACTCGACTCGATGGCGGTGACATTTCGCCCGCCCCGAAGCGTCGCAAAGGGCTTCGCGGGCCCCGAGTGGACAACGAACCCCGTGCGCGGATCTGAATTCGGCAGGAGGCCGAGGAAAAACGCCCGGCTGGGTTTTTTCAAAGAAAGTAACCTGAGATGGGAGGGCCACAAGGCCGCAATGAATGCCGCCGTGAATGGGCGACGTGGAGGCGTCGCGCGACGACTGGAGCGCGTTTCAAAAGACGACGTCCCGAGGCGGAAAGCTCCGGAGCGACGCCTCCCGGGAGGCGATCCGCCCGGCATCTCGTCTGTCCAAACCGGCGAGGAACGAGGAGCGGCGGTCGAGAGGCTCCAATCATCTCAGTCGTCGTCCGTCAGATGTCGTCGCTGAGCGCGTCTGGATTTGCTTCCGCCCCCCCCCGTTGGCCTTTTGCACCGCCGGCTGGCTGGACGCGTGCGAGCGTGGCCGAGGTCCCCGAGCCGCCGGGCCCCATCTGGCGTCGGGCGGGCCGCGCTGTTCCCCCGGGGAAGGCCCAGGGACGCTGCTGCACAAGTCCTAAAAATAAAACGGGGGGCTTTTAGAAGAGCAGCTGCCAGGGGGTGAGGGGGCTCAGGCACACGTTGCGG